GGGAGAGGGAGAGGGAGGGGAAGGAAGGAAAAGAGAGACACATGGAAATGAAGAGAAAGGAAAAGAAAGAAAGAAAAAAAGAAAGAAAGAAAGAAAGAAAGAAAGAAAGAAAGAAAGAAAGAAAGAAAGAAAGAAAGAAAGAAAGAAAGAAAGAAAGAGAAGGGAAGGGAAGGGAAGGAAAGAAGGAAAAGAGACAGAAAGGAAAGAAGGAAGGAAGGAAGAAGGAAAATGAAGAAAGAGAAGGAAGGAAATAAAAAAAAAGAAGGGAGAGAGGGAGGGGAAGGGAGGGAGGGAAAGAGACAAAACAAGAAAGAAAAAGGAAGGAAAAAAAGAAAGAAAAAAAAGAAATGAAGGAAAAGAAAGAAAGAGAGAGAAAAGAAGGAGGGAGGGAGGTGAAGGGAGGGAGGGAGGGAGGGAAAGAGACAAAGAAAAAGAAAAAGGGAAGAAGGAAAAGAAAGAAGAGAGAGAAAGGAGGGAGGGAGGGAAAGAGAGAGAGAAAAGGAAAGAAAAAGGAAGGAAGGAAAAGAGAGAGAAAGAATTAATTAATAATTAATTAAAATATTCTGCATAGTTCTCAGACAGAAGGACTAGTGGAATATATCAATTACACAATGACTTACGGTCAAGTTGTTGATGCCTTCAGAAAATGCCCCAATCTGCCTCACGGTCCCTTCGGAATCTTCCATCTTACAAGGAAGGAAAAATAATATTGTGATATTCATATGAACTCCGTTTTATAAAAAACTGTATTCACTAACGTAAACACTAACTTGGACACATATTCTTGAAGCTTTAAGCAGTGCTGGAGTAAGATTGGGGAGAAATATCAAACTTTGAACTCAAACTTTTCACACTTCCAAGGAGCTTTTTGTGCATCTATAAATACACGGAAGCTTCTTGGATGAGAAGCTAAGTGTTTTCAAGTTAAAATAACCCAAGAAAGCCCAGTCGCCTTTTGGGAAAGCACTTTTGGAACCACCATAATCTGGAATTTTGACTACAGAAGTTGGTCAGATTTTATAGGACTGAGACGGGGCCAATAAACAGAAATTGAAAAACAAGATTGGAAATGAACAAGATGATTTAAAGGGAATGCATATTTAATATTACATGTTTTGGCCACAGTGTGAATTATATTTGCACAACATTGGAAAAATGAGGAAGCTCCTACAGATGAAAAGATAATTTAAAAAATAATATTAAGACTGTGCGGAAATAGATAGTTTAACATTGAAGATAAAGGACAAAGAAGACACAGAATGTTTTTTTTAACTTGGGATTTCTTTTATCAATGGTTAGATAATAAGGGTAGAAATTGGAAATTGGAGGAACATTATACACAAGTAAAGAATATTAGTACTACTAGAATTATGTATATGTAAATGACCCAGACAATACACTGTTTACTAAATCTATATATATAAACACAAAATACCACTCACGCATCATTACAAAATCTCCAGAACCGTAAAGCCTACAAACTTGAAATTTGGCACGTATGTTCCTCTTGGCTTCTAGGTACCCACTAAGAAAGGATTTTTCCAAATGACCATCAGAGCATTTAGAGTATTTCCTATATTATTAACACGCTCTGATGCTAAGGAGTTCTACTACTCCCCCTCCCCACCTGGAAAGAAATCTGTTCCAAATGCAAAACACAAGCAGAGGAGAGGAGTTTCAGTTTCAGAGCATCAAGCAGCTTTAGTACAGAACAGTTGAGCTAAGCTATGCCCAGGCTCCTTGCTGTCTCGTCCTTGCTCACACAGAAAATACTCTTTCAGTTTCCAAACAGCCCTCAACTCTCTCACACACTGACAGGACGCTAGCCAGGTGAATACTGATGGATGCTGGTAGGCAGAGGCAGAAATTTTCCCCTTATTTTCCTCCCCAAAAACCAAGCCCAACCACATAGTTTCATAGCGAAGCACGGGTATTGAGCTAGTACTTATATATGTGAAAGGAAAATGTATAAATAAAAAAGAAAAAGAAATAGATAAGACAGAGAGACCACAAATCATTCTGCTTTAACCCGAAATACCTGTTCCAATCTGTCCAGGTCATCGTCGTCGTAAACTCTGTTATCTAAACCTGGTTTAAACCCTTTCTTGTATCCGGTTCCTGCCACCTGACCCAAATCCATGGGGCACACATATTCTTCTCCTCCGTCATCTTGCTTCTTCTTTCTCAAATTCCCAAAGTTACTGAAGGTGAGTTTCTTTGGCTGAAAGGAAAAAAGTCCAGCAAAGTCTTCAGTGCAGGTAATCATCAGGTTAGGACCGCAGATCCATCCCAGAATTGATCTGGCTAAGCGAAGACACAAGTAGACTGCCCCAGTACAAGATACATTTGATGAAGGGAAGGGTGGACCGCCAAATGTTTCACTACATGACCCATTGTAAGCAGCTTAAAGGTAAAGGTTCCCCTTGCACATCCGTGCTAATTGTTCCCGACTCTCAGGACTTATATACCACTTCACAGTGCTTTACAGCCCTCTCTGAGCCGTTTACAGAGTCAGCCTATTGCCCCCAACAACTTGGGTCCTCATTTTACTGACTTTGAAAGGACGGAAGGCTGAATCAACCTTGAGCCAGTCAGGATCGAACTGCTGGCAGACAGCAGTGAGTTACACTTCAATATGCATTCTAACCACTGCGCCACCTGGTCTCATCATCAGGCACAAGAAACCAGGACCCAGGGTAGAGTTCAAAACTATTATGAGTTTATTTCATACTAACTACAGACAAGAATCTGATTGACTAACAATCAATGCCAATTGGTGTTTGATAAGAATCAACCATTCAAAAGGACTTTTTTTGGAGTGCAGCGGTTCCAAACTTATGACACATTTGACCCCGCCCTCAGTCTCGGCTTGATCTCCTCCTGCATCGATTCCCCAAACTGAGATAAGCTAGAAACCAAAAATTCTTCTTCCAATACCTTCACTTTGGCAGTAGCTGTGAGAAGGACGTAATCAGGAGCTTCCATGGCTTCACGCTTTTCCTGTTGAGCTTTGCTTCCAACCAGCAAATTGAAATGGGTGGCCAGGTGTCGTCTCAGCAGCGTCTTGTTTGGTGGGATGTTCAGCAGCTGCGCCAAGGTCTCGACATTAAAACGAGGTTCCAGAACCTACATCACAAAAATGAGATTTTCAAACCTTGTGCATCCGGTACCTTCTCCTCAACAAATGCCAGTCAGTTTGCAAAACTCTCCAGATGGAAATCCTAGAACTTCCGGGAGATGCCATGCACCGACCTAAACACGATCCAAGCCATCAAAGATATAAAAATGGAATAATTACCATTAAACCACCGTGAACACCACTTCCTCTTAAATTAGGAGCATATTCGGCCAGATCAACAGAACGCAACCATTCCATTACTCGATGATTCGTCCATTGAGAAACTTCTGATGGGGTGATGTTATTCTGACAAATCAAAAATACAATAAATTAAAACATTCATTCATTTGTTTGTTTGTTTGCTCATTTATTCATTTGTTCATTCATTTATTTGTCCATCCATCTGTCTGTTCATTCATTCATTCACTTTCATTCATTCAGTTGTTCGTTCATTCATTCATTAATTCACTCACTCTTTCATTCAGTCAGTTGTTAATTAATTAATTCATTCATTCATTCATTTTTACATTCTGCTTATATTATGACGAATGCTGTAAGATTCCTGGCAGATAGCAATTTTAGACAGAGATGCATTAGTATGAACAACTAATTCCCACAATACCGTCAAACTATTTACTAAGACTGTATTACTATTATTCTTCTCATCCTTCCTATTACCTATCTCCTCCCACTTATGACTATAACAATTAACCAGTGGAACAACTTGCCTCCAGAAGTTGTAAATGTTCCAACACTGGAAGTTTTTAAGAAGAAATTGGACAACCATTTGTCTGAAGTGGTGTAGGGTTTCCTGCCTAAGCAGGGGGTTGGACTAGAAGACCTCCAAGGTCCCTTCCAACTCTGCTATTCTATTCTACTCTAACCTTGTTGCTTGTATCCTTATGATTTATATTATTTCATTTCATTTCCTAGTATGATTTCGATTACTTACTTTGTATCCTAGGACTATCACTAAGTGTTGTATCTTATGATTCTTGATGAATGTATTTTTTATGTCCACTGAATGTCAGCTTTGGAAGCCATATTGGCACCAGACGCTTCCACACTGCCACATTCTTGACCCTGGGAAAATGGGAGAGGGGATTTCTTGGAGTGTATGTGGTCAGATTGTTGGGGGCAATAGCCTTCCAAGTCAAGGTCATGTTGTTTCTGCACCTGGGTGAGAAGACATCTCAAGTTGGGACGGACGGTGATTGGGAAATGTGATGCAATGATGGGTGCAGGGGGTGGATTTGTAATTTTTTACTTATTGGAGGGAAACCAGGAACTTTCAGATTCTGGATTTCCCAGATGTGCCAGTTTATTACTCTAATAAAAAGAACCTTGGAGAGAATGTCTGTCTCGGAGTTATTTGTTGGAGTGGAGGTTTTCTGGAATGCTGACACTGAGTGCTTATGCACCAAAGACAAATCCCTTGAGTGTCCAATCACACATGGCCAATAAAGAATTCTATTCTAATTCTAGGGAAGAACTGACCATAAAATTAATTGTCTGCCCCCCCACCCCCAAATTAATTATAATGAAGGGTAACCACGAATCAATTTTACTTTTGAATATTAGTGGTGTCTACCTCATCAGACGGCCTCCTACGCAGGCAGTTGGGCTCGAAGTTGTTCATTCGAAGGACCTGGATGGCTCGTTTGATGCTCAGATGGTGGAGGACACTCAAAACTTTCAAAGACAACAAGTCATCCTGTAGATGGAGGCGCCAAGGACGAACCGACAACAAAACAAAGCCACAATCAGGTATCAAAGGGAAACATTGCCTGAATCTACTACAGGTAGTCCTGGATTTACAACAGTTCATTCAAGGTTACAATGGCCCTGGAAAAAAGTTGACTTATGACCGTTTTTCACACTTATGTGACCATTGCATGGTCACATGATTTACATTCAGATGCTTGACAACAGCTTTGTATTTATGACCAGAGGTGGTATTCAGCAGGTTCTAGAGAACCGGTAGCAGAAATTTTGAGTAGTTTGGAGAACCGGCAAATCCCACCTCTGACTGGCCCTGCCCCCATCTATTCTCTGCCACCTGAGTCCCAGCTGATTGGCTGGTTCTTCTTTGGTTGCCCTGCATAGGAGAACGGAGCTGGAAAGCAGGTTAATAGTGGGGTGGAGAAGGAATGGAGATTTTACAGTATCCTTCCCTTGCCATGGCCACCAAGCCATGCCCACCAAGCCTGCCTTCCTTCCTTCCTTCCTTCCTTCCTTCCTTCCTTCCTTCCTTCCT